TATTTTTGCTTAACTGTCAATTGCATTTTAAAGACATTTAAACAATAAGAACCATAAACAGTTTATATGTTTCCACATATTTCTGACTTTTGCTACACTTCACTTCTTTATCTGCATCAGATATCTATCTGGTATCTTTTCTCTTCCTAACCTTCCTTGTTGCGCAGGTGTTCACTTCAGTAATTCTTTCAAGATTTGTCTGCTGAAGAAGGCTTTCCTATTACCTTTGTATTTGAAAGATATCTCTGGTGTGTAGGATACAAATAGCCCAGTTTTTGTTTTCTATCAACATTTTACATGTGTTTTCTGCCTTGCACCATTTCTGAGGAGAGTTCTGCTTTGATCCTCATCTTTGTTCCCTTTGGTGTAATTTGTCTTTATTTTCTGGCTATCTTTAACATATTCTCTTCATCATTCATTTAAGCAATCTGATTTTGAATTACCTTGGTAATAGTTCTCTTCAGCATTTTTGTGTTTTTTTATTAATATTCTTGGTTATATAAATTTATAGTTCTTACCTATTTGGAAAATTCTTAGACAATGTTATTTCAATGTTTTTTTGCTGTTATCTTTCTTTCTCACTGCATTCCTTCAGGGACTCCAATCATATTTGAAACATTTAAGTACATTTAAGTATTTCAGTCTACTTAAAATTTCCCAGAGTACACTAGAACATTTTTTCAATTCTATTTTTTATTCCCAGTTCCAAATTTGATCATTTATTTTGTTTTCACATTAACTAACTGGACTTCTTTCCTACAATGTCTAATCTGCTGCCAATAAATTTCTGTGCATTTGTCATTTTAGAAACTATATATTTCATCCATAGAATTTCAATTTGGTTATTCTGAAAATATCTATTTCCCTACTTTGTGTAATAAATCTGTATTTCTCTACCATTTTTAACATTTAAAATAGTTATATTAACATTTAATATCCTTATTTACTAATTCTATTTTCTGTGTTAATTCCGGATCTATTTCTATTGTTTTTTTAATCTTCATTATGGGTTATATTTTCAAGCTTATTTGCATGCATGTAACATTTCATTAGATGGAAAAAACTGAATTTTCTCTTGTTGGGTTGTGAAATTTATTCCTTTAAATTTTCTTTAGTTTGTTCTGGGACTCAATTAAATTACTTGGAAACAGTTTGAAACTTTGAAGTCATATTCTTAACGATGTTAGGCAGAACCAGAATAGACTTTAATTCAGAGCATGCAGTGAACAGGAAAATGAAACTTAGGTGTGTCCATTGATTCACAGGAGCTCTTTGATGCAGGATTTGTTACTTATCTCCTAGATTCTATCACTCAACTGTGTGTGTGTTTGTGTGAGTGAGGGGATGTATACCATCCCTTTTCCTAGTTCCAAATTCAAGCTGATCTTCAGACCCAAAGGGATGGTATATGTCGCATTATGGAAGCTGATATCACCCTCTTCTTATCCACTTTTGACTGTTTTTATGTATAGAAAAATGAATTGCAAAATTATGCTTCTTCAAGTATATATACATTATTTTAAATTTCCTAAGTCTATAGATACAAGGATAAACATGTAATAAATAAAATGTAAATTTTTTATATTAATCACATTATAAATTGTCAGATAATAGATCATATTCAGTTCAGTTCAGTTCAGTTCAGTTGCTCAGTCATGTCCAACTCTTTGAGACCCCATGGATTGCAGCACGCCAGGCTTCGCTGTCCATCACCAAGTCTCAGAGCCTATTAAACTTATATCCATAGAGTAGGTGATGCCATCCAACCATATTATAGACCATATTATCATCACAAAATTGTTTCAGTATAAGGCATTAACACAAGAAAGACATGGGTAAACTGTGCAATTATTCATCAGATTAGTAAAATATTCATATCTAGAGTTTTAATAAGTTAATTAGTTTAGTATGATATTTCAACATTATCATTATTTCTTAGACAGTGGAAATATGAGGCCTAAAATAAAACTTTGAAAAGCTACTTAATATATTCAAAAGGTTAAAACCATTAGTGTAGATGTTAAACATTGCTTAGTTTTCCTAATTTTTACATTTTAAGTAAATTCTCCATTGTTCCTTAGTACCTGTATCAATAGCCTTGAATTATAAAGTTTCTACACATTACTTTGATTCCAGTTAGTAACTGGAATAAGTGAAGAAACTTATTATTAAAGAGTCCTACTGCTATTAGTGGCTTTCCAGGTGGTGCTAGTTGTAAAGGACTTGCCTGACAAAGCATGAAACACAAATGATGAGGGTTTGATCTCTGAGTCTGGAAGATCCCCTGGAGAAGGAAATGACAACCAATCCAGTACTCTTGCTTGGAGAACCCCATGGACAGAGGAACCTGGCAGGCTACAGATCATGGGGCTGCAAAGAGCTGGACAGGACTGAAGTGACTTAGCATGCATGCACTGTTATTAATAAATTTTCAGTCTCTTTAAATAAAACAATGTTCTTGATTTTAGGCATTGCATGCCTTTATCTATGATTTAGACTCAAAGTGTTTGATTATTTATCTTATCAATGTATATTTACTAAATGTATTAATGAACATTTTTTTAAGATGCTAAACTTTAGACTCTGCTTGAAAAGATATTCATGTTTGAAAGCATCTGATTTTCCTTTTATGTAATAATTAATTCTTCAAACTCCATAGAAGAAAATAGTGTCCAGTGAATAATAAAATATTCCAGCTTTCAAACAAAGTAGTCTGACAGTATACTTTCATAGAAACAACTGAATATATTCAAAATTTATTACTCTCATGAAAATTAAATGTTTCAATAGCACCAACTATTTTAAGACATTATATAATGTGGAATTTTTCACAGTAAGTTTGACTGCAGGAGATTATGCCTAGTTTCTTACCCTTTTTATACAGTCAATATCTGTGGTGTTCAGTTCATACACAGAAATCTTATCTTTTATTCACATTTCTACTCCAAGATCAACTATATATACTTTTTAATATGTCAATATATGTTTATTTTTGTCCATATTTAAAAAGATATGATGCAAATAGCTGAAAATGCATATATTTTAATTGATCACACTTTGTTGTAATCAAGAAAATATATTAATGGAAGACTTCTTTAATAACATTTAAAATTTGTTCTTAAATAGAATAAATAAAATAAATATAATTTATTATCCATATTTACTGATTAAATGTGTCAAATAAGTAGAATTTAGAATTCATTGTTTTATGTGATATCAAAGTTATTTCAAATTCTATTTAAAAGTGAGATTTTTATCTTTTGTTCTTTTTTTGAGTTTGATTACCTTCCATTTCTTAAGACTCTTAAAAATTCTAATATTGAAAATGAGAGAAAGTGACCTGACCTGCTCAGTCAGGTCCAACTGTTTGTGACCCCATGGACTGTAGCCCACCAGGCTCGCTGTCCATGGAAATCTCCAGGCATAAATACTGGAGTGCGTTGCCTTCCCTTCTCCAAGGGATCTTACCCACCCAGGGATCTAACCCAGGTTTTCCTCATTGGAGGCAGATTCTTTAACATCTGAAAGAAAGGGCGCTATACATTGTATGATACCAATCAGTTCACTTTTCAAACAATGCTTATATAACGCACTGACTAAAAATATTTACTCTACAGTAGCTAAATATAAATGGTTTTGAATGAATCAGTTTACTCTCTGCTTCCCTTGTGGCTCAGCTGGTAAAGAATTCAGCTGCAATGCAGGAGACCTGGGTTTGATCCCTAGGTTGGGAAGATCCCCTGGAGAAGGGAAAGGCTACCCACTCCAGTATTCTGGCCTGGAGAATTCCATGGACTACACAGTCCATGGGGTCGCAAAGAGTTGGACACAACTGAGCGACTTTCACTTAAGCTCACTTAAGCTTATCATTTCCTAAGGACTGAAGATATTTCTACACATATCAAAGGAATAATTGTACCTGTTTCACTTGTCTGTGAATTATAACAGACCTTATAGACAGCTGATGTAAACACATTCACTTTCATGCAGTTTAGGTACATGCTAAATTGTAAACTATATTATGATTGGCCATTGTGGAATTTCTAACAATGTAGCTCACTTTAAAAATACTGTACTATGACATAAAAGCATATTTTATTTTACTTTTGTTATTAACATAGCCTACTTTAATGCAATATCCAGGTATTTATAGCCTGTATAATATTAGAAATGTAATTCTCATTCTAGCAATGAAATTACTCAAATGGTCATTTCAAATATAAAGTTCTACTGTAACTGAAATAAATTTGATGGTAAATCTCAATCCCTCCCATTGTGAAATATTCATGCAACATATTTATGATCATAGTCATAGCTTAAAGTTATATATTAATGCTTGAAATTATGAATTAGGAGAATGCATAATTACTTATTACATAAAAATATATTTCTGACTCTTGTACCACTCAGGAAATCTTGGTATCATGGAAATACATGTATACTTATTTCTTGTTATTGTGTTTAGTTGCTAAGTCATGTCTGATCCTTTTGTGACTCACCTCCCACCCGCCCCACCTCACTCCACTGTAGCTATCCAGCCACCCCTGTCCATGGGATTTCCCAGGCAAGAATACTGGGGTGGGTTGCCATTTCCTCCTCCAGGGGATCTTCCTGACCCAGGGATTGAACCTGCATCTCCTGTATTGGCAAGCAGATTTTTTTTTTTTTTTTAACAGCTAAGCCACCTAGGAAACACTTAAACCCAGTGCAAAACACTATATAGGCATGCAAATACATATTAATATTACACATGTATTTTAACATTATGTAGTAATAATTCATTACCTTTGGCCAAAAGAAGCGACTTTGCAGCAGCAGCAGCAGTGGGTTTCTTAAGGGAACAAAACTATAAGAGTCTTTCTCCTACTCTTTCAAAATTTTAAACCTCTAGGAAATGTAAATGTTTCCCTAGATACTGTGAAAATCCACCTGTTCTGGCACCCACAAAGTCCCCTGGGGTCCACAGGAAAAACAAGAGAACCTGGGTGATAAGGTCCTACCTATTCCTCTGCGGTTAGTCTAGTTTCATTTGCCTGTCATGGACAGTGAGCAGAGGCCTCACACCTAACACATGGGATTGGTGTTCCCAGCAAAGAACCACTTCGAGCAATAGGGCACTTCGGCCAGCAGCCTGGTGGAGATATGCTGCACAAGGCACCTAGCTCAAGATGGCGATGCCGACTCCACGCCAACGCTGTGCGCAAGGATTCCGCTCCTCACGTCAGCCTGAAGCTGCGTGCGCAGCGACCTGTGCCCTGACCCCCTGACTCGCGAGAACTCTGCCCTGTCCTCCCTGACAGGAACACGGAAGAGCAGCCAGACCACCGGCACGTCAGGGAGAGCTGTGCTCTAGAGTGGGAGTTGGTAGCTCTCCATTCCTTGAGGAAAGAATAGAGCTTCCTTTTGCTTCTGAACTGAACTCCATCACCTGCTACTGGCTCAAAAGACAGAGGACACAAGGAGGCTTATTTGGGACTGACTCAGGAGGTAACAGTGATAGGTATGGTATTTTATAAATGCTTAAAAGAAAACCATCTTGTAGAAACAGAAAATTTTTATAACCCTCTCTTGCTAAATTCAGCATTTTATCCACAAATGTTTCTGAATGAAATAGATTTTCTATGACAATCCTGGTTGCTCTTCAGCTTGATGAAATTCAAAGGATACCAAATGAAAAATACTTTGTATAATGATTGAAGTTGTGCTGGTCACTGTTTGTCATTCCGCAGATAAGCCTTCTGGTAAGCTTTTCACTTTAACTCTTAGGAAAAAGTTGTACTGGAAACAAAGAAACTCATGACTTTACAACAGGCTTCCCTGATAGCTCAGTTGGTAAAGAATCCACTTGCAATGCAGGAGACCCCGGTTTGATTCCTGGGTTGGGAAGATCCACTGGAGTAAGGGATAGTCTTCCCACTCCAGTATTCTTGGACTTCCCTTGTAGATCAGCTGGTAAAGAATATGCATGCAATGAGAGAGAACTGGCTTCAATCCCTGGGTTGGGAAAATGCCCCAGAGAAGGGAAAGTCTACCCACTCCAGTATTCTGGCCTGGACTTACAGTCCTTGGGGTCGCACTGAGTTGGACACGACTGAGCAACTTTCACTTTCACTCCTAGGTTATGGAGTAAAACAGTTGAATCTCTAAGACCAGAATGCCAGATTGCACTTTCACTTAACATCAACAACCAGTGATTTTATATTACCTTGATATATGTACGCCTGATGCTGTGAAAGTGCTGCACTCAACATGCCAGCAAATTTGGAAAACTCAGCAGTGGCCACAGGACTGGAAAAGGTCAGTTTTTATTCCAATCCCAAAGAAAGGCAGTGCCAAAGAATGCTTAAACTACCGCACAATTGCATTCATCTCACACGCTAGTAAAGTAATGCTTAAAATTCTCCAAGCTAGGCTTCAGCAATACGTGAACCGTTAAGTTCCAGATGTTCAAGCTCGTTTTAGAAAAGGCAGAGGAACCAGAGATCAAATTACCAACATCCAATGGATCGTTGAAAAAGCAAGAGAGTTCCAGAAAAACATCTATTTCTGCTTCATTGACTATGCCAAAGCCTTTGACTGTGTGTATGAAAATAAACTGTGGAAAATCCTGAAGGAGATGGGAATACCAGACCACCTGACCTGCCTCTTGAGAAATCTGTATCCAGGTCAGGAAGTAACAGTTAGAACTGGACATGGAACAACAGACTGGTTCCAAATAGGAAAAGGAGTACGTCAAGGCTGTATATTGTCACCCTGCTTATTTAACTTATATACAGAGTACATCGTGAGAAACACTGGGCTGGAGGAAGCACAGGCTGGAATCAAGATTGCCAGGAGAAATATCAATAACATCAGATATGCAGATGACACCACCCTTATGGCAGAAAGTGAAGAAGAACTAAAGAGCCTCTTGATGAAAGTGAAAGAGGAAGAGTGAAAAAGTTGGCTTAAAGCTCAACATTCAGAAATCTAAGATCATGGCATCCGGTTCCATAACTTCATGGCAAATAGATGGAAAAACAGTGTCAGACCTTATTTTTCTGGGCTCCAAAATCACTGCAGATGGTGACTGCAGCCATGATATTAAAAGATGCTTACTCCTTGGAAGGAAAGTTATGACCAACCTAGACAGCTTATTGAAAAGCAGAGACATTACTTTATCATCAAAGGTCTGTCTAGTCAAGGCTATGGTTTTTCCAGTGGTCATGTATGGATGTGAGAGTTGGACCTTGGAGAAAGCTGAGTGCCAAAGAACTGATGCTTTTGAACTGTGGTGTTGGAGAAGACTCTTGAGAGTCCCTTGGACTGCAAGGAGATCCAACCAATCCATCCTAAAAGAAATCAGTTCTGAATATTCATCAGAAGGGCTGATGCTGAAGCTGAAACTCCAATATTTTGGCCACCTGATGCGAAGAGCTGACTCATTTGAAAAGACCCTGATGCTAGGAAAGATTGGGGGCAGGAGGAGAAGGGGACAACAGAGGATGAGATGGCTAGATGGCATCACCGACTCAATGGACATGGGTTTGGGTGAACTCCGGGAGTTGGTGATGGACAGGGAGGCCTGGTGTGCTGTGGTTCATGGGGTCGCAGAGTCAGACACCACTGAGCGACTGAACTGAACTAAACTGAATGCAGAATCATGGTGGTCTAGGCTATTACAACAAATTCCATAGGCTTGTCAGAGTTTAGTTCAAGATAGTAAAGAAATGAGGAAAATGCCTAAATTTCAAAAATTTTCTGCAACTTTAACTCTTAAGGTCACCTTGCCATCTGTGTGTATGTGTGTTTCAGTCACTCAGTCCTGTCCAACTCTTTGCAACTTCATCGACTACTCCTCTGTCTATGGGATTCTCCAGGCAAGAATACTGGAGAGGGTTGTCATTTCTTCCTCCAGGGGTTCTTTCCAACCCAGGAACTACCTCAGCCACTTTCCTATTCCAAGCTATCCGAAGGTCTTTCTGTCTTTCTCCCCTTACTTTTTCCTTTGTGTTTATTGTTGCTATCACATTGGTTGCTTGGGTTGTTATTCCTGGAATCCATGTTTCCCTCTACTTTTATGATTTATCTTTGTTTGTTTAGAACTCTGGAGCCAGAAATCTATCCTAATTCTTAATTTTGGCAGATACTGTTTGGAAATACTACATCGAGTTCTTTAGCATATCTGGTGTGTGATTCCACTTGAATACCTGACCCAGCAAATCCTTGTTCAGTGTAAATCTCAGTTGTGCCTTGACTTTGCCAACTGCCAGCTTAGTTGGCAACATTTCCTGGGCTGCTAATGCAGTGACTGACCATCTAAGCATTTGCTCTTTGACTTCCAAAATTCTCTCTTCCATTTATTCCCTTTTTGTCTTTTTTGCTTGCTTTCAGGTTCACACCTTTAAAAAATCATTTTAGTGAAGTTTTGGGAGAGTGTGATAAAAATGAGTACAGTATGTTTAATCTTACCCTTTAAAATCAGAAGTCAGCAGTGCCTTTTATGCATTTATTCTGAGGGAGACAACTATTTTTCAGGTAGTATTATAATGGGGAATTTATTTCACCTTAGAAATGAATGCAAATGCATATCTTAAAGGCAGAATGGAAATCCAGCATGCAATAAATAAGATTTTCAAATTAAAAGCAACAGGGGGGTTTAAAAATACTGCAGTACTTACTGAAGTGAGCATGCTTTTTATTGCTCCCTTGAATGTTCATACTTATTAATAGTTTTATCATGGAATTCTTTGGTTCTCATTTAGTTTGTGTTATAATTGATTTCTCATTCAAGCAGTACACAATATTCATTCACACCTTGTTATGAATCTGTCAAATTAGCACCTATTAAGTGGAGCACAGATTGCTGGATGGTGAGCCATGGTTCAATAACAGACTGCAAGAAAAATTGAAATGGAGATGCTTATCACAAATCCTGGAGGAAGTGGTCTCACAGGGCCACAGAGGGTAGTCACGGCAAGGTACAAATAGAGAGTCAGCACCTGGGGCACATGCTTTCAATAGAGTTCTCCTGTGAAGTGCTTTGGAATTCCCAGGTTAGGGCCAGAATGGAAGATTCAAACCATAGGAGTGGAGTTTGGTTAAGCCTCATGGAGGTCTTATTTAATGACACATAAAGGGAGGGTGTTAGGAGACTGGGGAGCTTGTTGATCACAAGGCCTGTTGAGGAAGTCCCATCAGGGATTCATAGTTGCTATGACTCTGCCACTGGGCTGCTATCTAAAGCATGTGCTTGCATGAGAGAGCTAATGTCAGTTTAAGGTCCCCCAAGCAGTTTGGCCAAACAGAATGGATGCCAGGGCAGCAATGCTGGTGAAGCAGCTTAGCTAAATTCTTCATACACCAGCTGGAAGAAAAGGTGACTGCTGTTTTTGTCTAAGGCAGATCCAGGGATTGTCAACCTCTGTGTAAATCCATAAGATCAGTACTGTTGCTCACTTACTCATTTCTTAATCAGAAATATTCAATTTCCATAGTTCTTCAATTTCCGAAGGTTAATCCCAGTTTTGACTGATAGTTTAATGAAATTGCACTATAAGGATTTTTATTTTATCATTATAATTGCATTATGATTGCATTAGAAGGATTCACATATCTACAAACACAGATATTTGGTTATGTGATTTAAAAAATAATAATATAAATAAAATTATTTTTAGACAATTTATAAAGGATAACTTTTATAAAAGATTATATAATTCAATTAAACCATGTTTGAAGATTATTTCTAATATTTGAATTTCCTATATTTCCTTCGATTTTTCAAAACATAAGATTTCTTCATAATTGTTTTTGCTTGCAGTATTTTTTCCCTGTGACTTCTTTTCCTCTTAAATTAGGTCAGTGGATGGAAGGAAGAAAGAAGACTTCCATCCCCATCACAAAAATGCAATTATAACAGGGTCAGATGGAAAGTTAGTCAGAGATGTCCCAGTTTCTTGACTAAAAAAATTGGTTCTTTATACAATAGCACAATTTTCCTTAGAGGATTCATCAACAAAGAAGGATAGCTCTCCTTTTTGAGACTTTCTATTTAACATTTGTAAGGTCATATTTTCTATCAACCAACAAGAGATCCAATAGTAATTGTTTTGTCACTCAAAAAAATGAAATTTCTAAAACTATTTGGCAACACATAGCCACAGGGTTATCATAGCAAATTAAAGCCATTTCTGTTCAAGTACAAGTACACCCAGTCATTCAATGA